GGCACCTGCCTCTCCCAAACCGCCTTATTGCGTGCTTTCCAGATCGCCCAAACCCCCACGATGACTGGACGAAGTTCAAGCAATGAAAACCTGTCAAACATATGCATCATCCATGCATTGAAATACAGCCCTACAGGACTGCTATAAGAAAATCCAAGCTGATTCCAAACCATTTTCGAGAACGGGCAAACAACAAAAATATGATCAATATTTTCACCCGGAGTCCCACACAAGGGGCAAAGGTTGTCCAGGGCCATACCTTTAGAATTAAGAGAAGAGATGGTCGAAAGAATGTCCCGAAGAGCTCGCCACACACAGACCTTGAGCTTCGGAGCCACTGAAACCCGCCAAAGTTGACGCCACTTTGAAAAACCCGGACAGACTGTTAACTCCCCGACCGAACGCCGATAACCTTCTTTCACCGAATAAGCTCCCTGGGACGGCCCTTCCCAGTACCAGTTATCATCACTGATGGTGCCCAAAGGTAGTGCAAGAATGCGTTGCACATCAACAGGCAAGAACCATTCCCGCACCACTTCTTCCTTCCAATGACCCGAACCAGACTCAATCAGAAATTCTACTGGGAGATTGGGCATAAACGGTGGTCTCTCCGTAAGGATACAAGGTTGTTGAGAATCATTAAGCCAAGGACTATCCCATATCAGAGTGTCCCGACCATTACCCACCCTACGACGGATACCCTCCAAAAGCAGTGATTGTGACTCCAAAATACTTCGCCAACAAGAACTAGGATTAGCCCCCAAATGAGCCTCCAAAAATGAAGACGTAGGAAAGTACCTTGCTTTAAAAACCCGAGAGACAAGTGCCTCAGGTCGGGTGAGAAACCTCCACCCCTGTTTTCCCAGCATCGCCACATTAAAAGCTCTCAGCTGTTTAAAGCCCAAACCACCAAAATTCTTTGGTACTGCCATCCTTGTCCAAGACATCCAATGGATCCCTTTAGAATTCTGCCCTTTCCCACCCCACCAAAGGGAGTTCATAAGGTTTTCAATACTTTGACAAAGTTGAGATGGTAACAAAAAAACACTCATAGCAAACTGAGGCATAGCTTGCGCAACTGTCTTCAGCAGAATTTCCTTTCCGGCCTTCGAGAGAAGTTTCTTTGACCACCCACTCATCCGCACACGAATCTTATCATGGATATATGAGAACACATTAGCTTTATTTCTTCCCAGGAAAGGGGGGAGACCAAGATATTTACCAAAATCGGAAGCTTGCTCTACATCAAAAAATTGAGATAAAAAGTCTCTTGTCGGACTGGGGGTGTTGCAACTGAAACAAATGCTGGATTTTCTATAGTTAACAACCTGCCCGGACAACCTCTCATACTCCGATAAGCATCTCTTGACCACCACAGCCTCCTCCAGTGTTGCCTTAAAAAACAAAAGACTATCATCTGCAAAAAGAAGGTGCGAGACAGAGGGAGCTCCTCTAGCAACCCGAATCCCATGGAGCACACCTTCACTGACCTTGTTCTGCAGCATTAAGGATAAGCCCTCCGCACAAAGAATAAACAGATAAGGGCTCAATGGGTCGCCCTGTCGCAGTCCCCTCGTAGGAAGGATCGGTTCTGAAAGATCACCATTAATAAGCACCTGATATCGAACGGTGGAGACGCATAACATAACTAGGTTGATCCATTCCTCAT